GTGGAGGAAAAATATACATGGAGAGGAATACGGATTTCAATGGACTTTGAAAGGTCCAGCACTCGATTTAGGGCTGAAAACAGTATCTCATTGTTCGACTTTGAATTCAAATTCTATCTTATTAAGGCTGATTTCAATTCAATCAGTTTATAATTTTATTGAATATGGATCCACCTCTATCCGATCCAATATAATCCGATAAGGTTCAATTTAAATATCATTGCTCATATATACTTAAGATTCATATATTATATATCTCATATATACTTGAGATTCATATTATATCTCAGTAAAGCTGGCCTGAATGTTTTATTTTCAATAAATTGTCCTTGGTTCAAGTTTTATACAAGTAATTTTCAATTCATTTTGTTCTTAAAATATAATATTAAAGTCATTTTTACTTCATTTTATTATTAATATATAATGTTTTGGTCATTTTCAGTTTAATTTATTTACGCTATTTAATAACTGATTATAATTCGAATTCAATTCAAATCTGCTAGATACCCAATAGACATGATCCAATTCAAATCCCAATATAAATGAATCAAATTTGGATTTACTTATATCCAATTCAAAACGATCCATTTTCTATCCTAACATGATTCTACCTTTGATCTGAATAATTGGATGGGATGAGGATTTAACCCTATTTGATTCTATTAAAATCCAAATCTGATTAAAAATTATTATTATTATTATTATTATTATTATTATTATTATTATTATACAAATTTATAATTAATAAATATAATATTTAATATTTATATATATTTATTATATATATAACTCAACAATAATTAATTTTTTTAATTTTTTGTCATTTTACAGTAAGACAGATACGAAGAAATAGAAATCCAATCTGAGCTTGCATATCGAATTTTGGATCGGGTGCAGATGCAGCTGGATAGTGGATTCGATCCGATTACAGCGTGACTTAAAAGCATCCAACTTCCATTGTTTATGAATTTGTGGTGCTATTTTATAATTGAGCTCCTTACCTGTTAATTGCTTTCTACAGCGTGTTGTGACATTTTAAAAGATTAAAAAAAAAAAGGAGGAATCAATTCAAGACCACGTTCATTACTTGCCAATGAGCAATCGTCGGATCCGATAAATATATATAAGCTAGCTAGTGGTGAGATGCCCATCACTAGACCAGTTGATTGGTGTTCACGAGCTGTCCACAAACCCAACAACCTTGTGAGTTGTGATATTGTCAAGTCTATACTCCTCCATACACAAATGGAATGGTCCCCCTCAATAATACATACATACTTCTACCTGATGTGCTGCCGCTTTTATCTTATTCTTCCAATCTATATCTGTAGTGAAAAAAGAAAAATGGTTTTGAACCAGGATTGTCTGACTGTTTGGTTTGGGAATTTTTTAGAAAATCAGTTTTATTTTACTCTTAATTCATTTTTTGACAAAAAAACTATTGATTTGATTAGTGATTCTTGATTTGGGCAATTGAACCGTTGATTCGTTTGACTTGAACAATAATTTTTGGTCATTTTTTATTTTAATATTTTTTTTAAAATTTTTAAAATTTAAATGAACCATTCATTAGCTGACCCAGAAACTAATGGCGAAAGTAATTCTGATTGGAGGCCGATTTTTAAAACATTGCTTTAAATTAAGCCCTTATGTTGCGGCGGGGGCCAACGGTGCCATCTACCACCAACCCAAGGGTTCAAGTAAAAATCGGAATTCAGGATTTGATCTGATCTTGGATAAATCGCAGTATCATACATACATTCTCAATACCCGAAAAAAAAAATGCAATTTATTAGATGGTCAAGACGATTCAATCATAGGTGGCTTGTTTTCTGGTTATTTAAAATTGGGAAACCCCTTGAAGAACACCAGTCGACTGTGGACGACCCAGATTAATGGAATTCATATCAAATACATGAAAGTACAAGAAGGCCATCAGTTTATTAATATATCATATTTGCCACAAATAACATAAGGAGAATAAAATCTTCAGCAATGCAGCTTTACAATACAAGCCTTTTATTATTACATTTTTTTTTTTCTTTTTAATGGCCAGCCACATTACACGCATGGCACACAGAGTCGAATTAGTGTGGACGGACTGTCGGGTCACGGGTGGAAGCTCCTCACACCGAGACTCATGGAATCTCACGCTACGGGTGGCAACGAGGAAAGTCTCCGAATCTCTCGCTGGGCCTGGGCCACGGCCACGGCCACGGCCACGTCAACAATAGCCCAAAGATGTGCTGAAACGTGGGAATGAGAACAGGGATGGAGCAACGGTGATGCCTCCTCATTGGTGATTGTGCAATTTTATGTATATATCATAGATGGTGGCCGTAACTTAATGCAAGGGTGATGGGTCTATTCTCAAAATTAAAACTTACTGCGACTGACTATAAGTAGACCGACCAAAGTTGGGTAACTTTGGAAGTTGGAAGCCCGGTGCCTGTGCCTGCCTGCAACTCAGAGCCAAACGACACCTAATCGGATGATGCGGTGGATGCTGACCCAGTGACCCCCCCTAGTCCCTACTCCTAAATAAAGAACACTGTTGCTCTCTCTCCCTCCTTCCTTTTTTCCACTCTCAGCCTTACCCTCCCCGCCTATCTTCTTTCTTCCTCCTCTTCTTCTTATTCTTCTGTTCGAGTTTGTGTGTTTGGAAGGTTTAGAGATAGAGGGAGATGGGGAATTGCCAGGCCATAGATGCAGCAACATTGGTTATACAGCATCCTGGTGGGAGAGTAGAGAGATTGTATTGGCCGGTGACCGCCAGTGAGGTCATGAGAATGAACCCGGGTCACTACGTTGCTCTCATAGTCACACTGTGTCTCCCGGAGAAGGAGGAGAAGCGTGACGACGCCGTCCGTATTACGCGTGTTAAAGTACTCCGCCCTACTGATACTCTTGTTCTTGGTCAAGCCTATAGACTCATCACCTCTGAAGGTTTCTGCTTCCCCCCACCCCCACCGTCTCTCTCTCTCTCTCTCTCTTTCTCTCTATATTTTCTCATTCCATCGTTCTTATTAATCGTATGGCCTGTGAACAGTTAACTTTTCTTGAAGATTAATTTGTTTATTCTTTTTTTTTTTTGTGGGGGGTGCAGAGGTTATGAAAGGGCTCTGGGCTAAAAGGTATGCAAACATGAAGAAGAGCCAGACGGAATCCGTCCAAAGGCAACCAAGAACGACAAACTCAAACTTGCACGGATTAGGATCTGAAATAAGAGAAAGGAAGAGCGATTTACAGAATAGTAGTCAGGTGATTATCATTCAGCCACCCCCCTTTTCAAGATTTAGCCTGTGTGTTGGACGCATTTATATATGTAGTAATTCATACATCACACTCATTTCTATAGAAATCATTTCCCTGTTTCCGATGGACTATCCGCTAAAACAAATTTCAGATGAAGGTGTTCAGTCCTGCCCATGAGTACTCATTATACAATCATGCTAAAACATTTCAGGCAGCCAGACATGAAAGACACCGACCAAGAACAGGGACAGCATCTACGCCATCCACTTCCACTTCTGCAAGTGCAAAGTCAAGACCATGGAGGCCCTCCTTACAGAGCATAGCCGAAGCCGGTAGCTGATGATGCTTTCAGTCCATTACAATAGTCGGAACAACCAGAAAACGGATTAAAATAGGCTTCTCAACCAGATATAAATGCATCCAGAACGGACTTCTCAAACATGGGAAAAAATAATTAGTATTTATGTCTTTAAAGGTGGGAGTGCCGTGTGTTTGCTGGGTGATCCCAAAACTACCCTCAAGCACAGATCCCAGTTTTTCACTGTATCAGAGTAATACAGCTACAGCCCTTGTATAGCCAAGCCAAGAAAAGAGCCGATGCATTCCAACTTTGATGTATTCACTATGTTTTTGGAAGGAAATTAGATCTGCATGTATGAAACTTATCTGAATCGGAAATATAATCATGGGTGCACAGAAGTTCAAGAGTTCCCAGCAATTATCAACGTTTGAGCCTGGAGAAGAGCTGCATAAAGGTGCCCCTGGCAGCTTCTTCTCCTGGAGTGCACTTAACTATCAACGTTCGAGCCTAGAGAATTAATCAATATCTGCATCTCAAACCCACACCCAGATAGTTGGTGGCAGAGACTCTTTTTGACATGCTTAATCTAATATACGATCCTGTAGAAAAGGTTTGAAGTTTTGAGTATCAATTGTTGTAACCTTGTATGTGCAAAATCCAAGAGCTTGGAAGTGTTTGTCCAAGCAAAGCAACAGAAGTGAAAGCCAGTGATGGATCAACAGTGTTAGTTACTATGAAGTCAATCGTTTTTCTTCTTTTTTTTTTTTTTCAATGTGCAAATCTTTCAACAGTATTCTGGTAGAAGAAAAAGGAAAGAAATAACAAAATTTTGAGTCTTTCGGAAGAAGAATTAGTGAAGTGAATTCTTGGCAGAAAAGGTAGGATATGATTTTTAGTGGAGGTTGGTTGATTGTTTGTTTGTCACAACTCACAAGTATCTCTGTTTGGCTGTTTGTAAAATTGGGCCTTTACATTCAGCATGATATAAGCAATTCCTCGCTGCATAGCTAGCTAGCATCATCTCCTCTAGCTTGGTTAGGATTTGTGAGCTAGTGTGCATGCAGACTGACCTGCACTGAACAGTGGTACATAGACACATCTGTATCAGAAGCACAATGATCTAATTCAAGTGGCCGACTGGAATGTTCTAGTCAATCTATTTAAACCATTCAAAAGATTTAAAAAATATTGGGCTCCTAGATATGTGAGAATGCCTAGTTGTCCAAGTATGACTTTTAAGTGCCATTTGTGTAGACTATACAATTAACATCTGAAAATTTTTGTTTCTCTAGTTATTTCTCTCAATTAATTGACCTCTAACCACCCAATGTTTTACTCAACTCAAACGGGTAAGAAGAATAGCAGATTTGACATTCTACAATTAACATCTGAAAATTTTTTCTTTAACTCAAGTCATCTTTCTGGGTACTGCACTATTTGACATTCTACGGTTTCAGTTTTTTTTCTCTGCACTTCCTTCACTTCACTTCAATATAATTGCTTTAGAAGGACAAATAATCACACAGTGATAAGGTCAGGCGCAATTTGGACTTCCAAGTATTACGAACCACAGCTCTGCACTCAGTCGAAAATTCCAAAATTTCTGATTAGTACCTGCATTTTGGGACTAGTGTCATTTTGGTCCTCGGAACTTTAAATTGTGATAATTCATTATCCAAACTTTTAAAATATGTTAATCCAGTATTTGCCGTTAAGTGGCATTTGAAAAAGACATAAATACCCTTCAAGTGTCATCTAATTTTTTTTTATAAATCATCTAAACGTTGACAAAAAATTAACGGTCTAAAATCCTTGCCTCTTCTATTCAAGAAAGTTGAGGTCATATGTCAATGGACATTCTGCTCACCCCAACTTTTTTAAATAGAAGAGGTAATGATTTGGGATTATTAATTTTTTTGTCAATGTTTGAATGGTTGATAAATAAAATTAGATAACATTCAAGGACAATTATCTCTTTTTCAAATGTCACTTAATAGCTGGTTAATAACTAGTTAACGGTATGTATTAAATTGACACATTTTAAAAATTTGAATACTAAATTATCACATTTTAAAATTCAAAGACCAAAGTAACACTAGTAAAAAAATACAGAGTACTAATGGAGAATTTTCCCTATAATTAATTACAAACTCCTTTATTTACACTTTCAATGGGCTGGGCTGGAACAAGGTTTAGTGAGCGACCCACTTCATGAATCTAAACTTTAATTAGATTTTTTTTTTTTTACCAAAAGTGTAGAATCAAGAAGTGGGTGGCTCAATATGTGAAAAGCGAGGTGGAGTGAATGGATTATAAGTTTGACAAAATCTGGACCTCTAACTAAATGCCAGTATGCCACTTGACGTACATGCTTGATTGAATATTACCAAATGAACGGTCAGTTGAAGGGTCTGAACTGGAGTTGTGACGTGTGATGGTGGACATTGGATAACCACCTACTAATCACTCTAGGGTTGACTCAGGACATCCAATCCAACCCTCCATCCAATAATGTATATAAATGGATTGGACTCTCATGTCACACCGACTAATTTGACGTACGTCCACTTTGAATTTCAAACGTCAATCGGCGCTACGCTTACCTTTATGCTGGTCAGAGACCCGTCCCGTCCATAGTCTGACAATTTGTTGATTTTCTCCATGTAATCAATCATGTTTGATGAAATTTCCCAAAGAACAATGTACCAGTATATATCATTTATGTCCCACTCCCACTACACCACGTTGAATTGAACCATTCACCCACACCACACCCAGTTGCATCCAATTCTTTCAATGCGTGTTCGGCGAGAAATTCTAAAACCTCCTCTCCTCCCAAAACCTTAATAACCCCCTAATATCTGCAGTGGTGGTTTGGGTAATCCGAATTCTTTTTTCTTGATAAAACCTCCTCCCCCAATATAACAAAATGCAAAATTTTTCCTGATCGTACGCTTTCAGTGTTTGTGGTGTGTGAATCGGTCCAGAGGCACTACCCAATTTTTTATTATATTAGTGGGACCCGTGCTTTATTGAGTGAAGGTGAAATAATGGAAATATATAAAAGTAAATACATTTTTTCTATTTTTCATTGTAACACTATGAATTAATATCATTATAGGCAAGGATTATAATATTTAATTTATTTAAAAAAAAATAAATGTTTTTTAAATACAATATGAACTAATTACATTTACTTCTTGAATATTATTGATAATTAATACATATTTTCAAAAAGTAATTTTAATGGTTATATTTTTTAATTTTTCGTAATTTATCATATTTATTGGAAATCATGTTAATCTATTTTTGGTAATTATGACAAAATTATTGGTACTTTATTTTTGGTTATCTTCTTGGCTAATTTCTATTCATTAAATGTAATTTTCTGCAATTTATAACTTAAATTATATTTAAATAATATTTTAAATTATAACTTACATTAATTAACAATTTAAAAAACTGTTAGTTAATGAATTAATACAAAATATTAATAGTTTTTAATAAATACAGTATTTTAATAAAACACTATTAATTAATAATGCTACAATTATTGAAAATATTGTAAAATATGGTTAATTATTAAAAATACTGTTAATTGATCAAAATACTGTAATTATTAAAAGTACTATATTAATTAATAAATTCAGTATTTCAATAAATATTTTTAATTAATTAATAATACAGTAATTATTAAAAATAACGAAATTGTCTAAAACTCACCATCAGTTTTCAACATTTCTCTTAAACTCACCACAACTTTTCAAAATGTCTAAAACTACCGATCATAGAATTCGAGCAACGACAACATGCTTTAGACTGAGTATGGAAGGAGTACAAATGCAAATATATAGAGTACAAAACCTTATATTTTGTATGTATTTACGCTGTACATATTTGCATTTGTACTCATTTCAATGAGCCTTAAAAGATAAAAATATTAAAATAAGCGAGCTCAATGGTAAATGTTTAATTAAAAGTTGTTCAGGTGGGAGCATCAAATGAAATATGAAAAGAAATGTAGTACTTAATATCTAGAATTGATCAGCTCATTAGCAATCAACGTACCTTTTCTCAGTGACATTGTTAATGAATGATAGCTTAACAGAAATTCATAGTCAACTTTTGTATAATTTTTTTTTAACACACATAAATTATATTCAAGATCACAGATATATGGTCTCAATTCTGAGAGCAATCACCTTGTTCAAAAAATGCATAGGATTTGGAGTATCTAGTCCACCCCTCCCATTCGCCCAAGACAGGTGCATGGATCATCAACAGAACGAATAGGGTAAAAGACTTATACATGGAATATCTACCAAAAAAACAGAAGGAATTTTCTTTTTTTTTTAATAAAATTTCCTGTTTCTCTCTTATTTTCCATCCATCCAAATGGAGTGCTAAACAATTAAGTAATAGGGTAAAAGACTTAAACATACCCTAAGATTGTAAAATAGACTTAATTATTGTTGGATTGCCTCAACAGGTGATTTTCATAAGTCATGATTTTAATCTACAATCAAGAACAAACGATACATGGGAATTGAAGATCACAAAAACCGTCACACTAATACGCCTCAGCACAATATATTTTGCTCCTAAGGCCTTATTTGTTTCCAATAAAATTTCTTTTACACTGGTGCAAAAATACAAGAGTATAAATGAGTTGAATGTAATTTCTGATTTAATTTCATTAAAAAGTTTTATTTTGTTTTGTTTATTTTTAGTGTAAGTGAAATAAAATAAAACTTAAAAGAAAAGAAAAGTAAAATCTGAAACAAAATTGAACCAGAATGAACACTTTTTTAATTTGTATTTCTATGCATTTTTAACAGTGCAAATGAAATTACATTGCAAACAGAGGAATAATTTAGCTTTAAAAATAATTCTGTAATTCATTATTTGGAGTAGGGATGGGCAAGAGAAGCGTATCTTGAGGGTGAATTTGGGTTAATACATCTAAAGATGTCTCCTGGGTACTGCATGATGTGCTGAATTTGCTTCATGATGATTGCTTAATTTAGTGGAGGTTGATTAGCAAAATTAAGGCTGATAGTCTCTAAGAACGAAAACCAATCCATGTAGCCACATGCTTTAGTATGATTTTATTCATCTTGGCCACCAAATTTTGATAGCACAAAGGCTATGTTTGTTTGTAGTACAGTGCAAATCTGCACCAGATGCAAATTTTGCACCTAGGTTAGTGGGAGCCTGACGCTCCAAGACTAAGAGTGAAGATATATGTAGTGTAGGCTCATTGTTTCCTTCGATCAGTAATATGTAAGTACTTGAGTTTGCGTTTGAGAAGCCTTAATGATAACAGAGTGAAGATCAAAATGGCTAACACCACCATTACCATTCACCACTATAATTTACATGTAGATTTTCAAATTGACTAACTCTATCCTTATTGTTTATATATTATTAGTCACGTTATGTTACATGTGATGGAGTCTAATGGAAAATTGTTGGACCGAGTGGCCTATGGCTCTCGATATTTATCATCTTCGATGTGTAGGACTATCCGTAGGCCAACGGGAATAACCACACGATCGATGGAATATTTGCTCTATGTGGACCAACATGCACACACAATCATTACCTCTTTTCAATTATTATTATTATTTATTATTTATTATTTTCCTATAAAATAAAATTTGTTTTGACTTATTTCTTTTAAACTTGGTCCACTAGAGTAGTTGTTGGTTGAGAAAATGTCTCAAC